ACTCCAATTGTAAATATCCATTCATCCTACATGATCCGACCTTCCCTCATGTAAAAGTTATTGAAGCGGAGAGAACCGCGGAACCGAATTGAAATTCACGAGCCTCATGGGGTTCGGACAATTAACCGGAATGATATCGATTCCGTTTTGGTCCGTGAAAGGAAAATTCTCGTATTCAAATCGCAAAACCAACTACAAGTTGGCGGCGTCTCGACGGTCTTTCGAAACATTTTCCTTAGTTGGCGAAAGAACCATGAATGGCTTTTGGTATTTGTTTATGGTACTTCGGAAAGGTTAGAATGAAGCGATTCATCAGAGACAATTGTATTTTTAGACAGTTGTTGCGTTAACACAAGCCAATTATAACGATTCAGGAGGATAAAAATATCATTTTGGCCTTCATCGGCATTTTTTATACCGACAAGATATTTCTCTTGTTATCTGATTAATTAACCTAATTCGATGCCCTTCGCGAAACGCCCATTCTGAACTTTATAAAATAAAATAAAAGAGTATTTTTATTTGGACATGGCGTACGGCCAACTGTTTTCAAACCCGCAGCTTGAAAATTGGAAGTATGAAAACACATAAAAAAAGCGTGAAAATACTGCAAAAGTGTGTTAATCAAATAAGCATTTATACAAGTTTTAATTTATTTTCTTGTTGAAACAAAAGAACGCCCCTTCGGAGAGTTTGTCTGAGAATGTAAAGCACCCTGTTGACGTAAGTTTGACTTCTTCCATCTTCCAATAATATTCTAGCCGAATCTGTAACACTTAAAACCATCACACAAACAAATTTGAAACTAAAAAATGGTTCAACTTAAAACAAATCAAATGGAGCTTAGAAAAAATCGAAAGTTAGAAAGAAGCTTTACAGAAAAACCAACAAAGAAGAGATTGACGAAGAAAGATTTATTTACAAAAATGTAAATACAATGTGAACTCTTATCTGTTTTATTTACCTCTAACCCTTTAAAACGGATCAATTATTGTTGTAAGGTCGTTTAATAAAAAATTAAAAACATTAAGAGATCAGTTTTTTTGCCTCTTAGTTATAAGAAAAATAAAACAAAAAACAGCAAGACAGCGAAGGTATCATCATTGCCATAATCATGATCAACAACAAGCGAAACAACATCAGCGACGACAGCTATAACTATTATTTTTACTAATTGTTTAACACAAAGTTTTTCATAAAATTACGATGAAATTTATAATGCTATTTTGTTACGACACTTACTCGTACTACTACTACTACCTCATAACTTCTCCTAATGCTACCACCACAACCACCACTACCACTACTACTAATGTATACAACCTTAGCAAAGCAAGTACCACTACTGCTCCAACTGCTACTCCACATTCACCTACTTCTACTATTATTATTTTTATTAGTACTACTATTTTTGCTACCACTATGTTACATATTAACTGTAACTGAAAAAGACAGTGACAACGAAAACATCATCATCCACAACAACAACAGCAAAAAAACATCAACGACGACAGCTAGTATTACTATTTTTACTAATTGTTTAGTACAAAATTTTTCATAAATAACGATGAAATTTATGATGCCATTTTGTTACTACACTTACTCCTACTACTACCGCATAACTTCTCCTAATGCTACCACCACAACCACCACCACCACTACGACTAATGCATAGAACCTTAGCAAAGCAACTGCTACTACTGCTCCAACTGCTACTCCTCATTCACCTACTACTATTACTATTACTACTTTTTAAGTATTACTATTTTTTCTACCACTTTATTACATAGTACATGTGACTGAAAAAGACTGTGACAACGAAAACATCATCATCCACAACAACAACAGCAAAAAACATCAACGACGACAGCTAGTATTACTATTTTTACTAATAGTTTAGTACAAAATTTTTCATAAAATAATGAAATTATGATGCCATTTTGTTACTACACTTACTCCTACTACTACCGCATAACTTCTTCTAATGCTACACCACTACTACTAATACCTAGAACGTTAGCAAAGCAACTACCATTACTGCTCCACGCTACTCCTCATTCATCCACTACTACTGCTACTACTGGTTTTGCTACCACTACAGTACATATTAACCGTGTCTGAAAACGTTTTCGAAGCAACCAATAGCAGCTATGATCAGAAGGATGGTGATAATGAGAAGAAGATAATCAGCACACAAAAATAATTGATTTAAAACAATAATATTTTTTTCTTAAATTCAGTAAACATATCAATTTTGTACGTTACAACTATTACTAATACTAATTACTACTGCTATTGCTAATATTACTATTGGGTTGTCCGGAAAATAATGCAGGATTTTGGTATTAAACAAAAAAAAAAGAAACTAGTTACTTTAAAGCAATGTTCTTTAATCAAAATAATTTCCCATACTCTCAATACATTTCTCCCAACGTGTTGGTAACTTATTANATACAAATGAGTAATCCTGTAAACGTAAACAGAATATTTTATATAGATTTTTTTTAATGAAAACTTAAAATCCTGCATTATTTTCCGGACAACCCGATAATACTAGTAGTACTAGTAACTTATTGTTTTTTACACAAGAAGCACACCCTTGGCAAATTTTAATGAAAAATAAAATTCTAAAACTTGAAAATAAAAAAATGTTTAAATTGAACATTTATAACCCTCAGGCAAATATTCAGGTTCAAACGATTTATAAATTATGCAAGATGATATTTGTTCAAACCGTGAACATTTAATATTTGTGATGTTGATATTTACTCCATTGATATTATTTATGAAAGCGTAAACAGTAAATTACATGGTAAAAAATGGAAACGGTGATCTTTTGTTTGAATTTGGTTTTTGACAAGCTGACATATATTTTTATATAGTCATTTAAGTGTGGCAGAGAGTAATTAAACTCTGAGTGAATATTGATGTTGCATTTAACGTAACTGAGAGGCAAACCAAGGGGGTAAAAAATAAAAAAATCAGAAAAAAAGATTAATAGTCACGGGTGGCTGAAAGCATTGGAGGTCAAGTTGAAAAATTTGACTGCTAACTTGTAAGTTTGCGTACGCTATCACGGAGATTTAAGAAGGCAATGATTCTTCTCAACGATTTACTTATAACTGCCATGTTATACCGTGCAGTTAACATTTTCCTACAAGAGTTATCATGACTGAAGCCATTATTTTCAAGTTGAATCAGTCGGGTTCTAATTGATATCACTTGCTCAGGAGACAACCGCGCGTCAGTCCAAAACACGGCAAGACCAGACGGACCATTATCACCACGGACGATCATACTGCTGTCATAAGGAACTCAAGAGGTTAGTACATGCAATTTTCATTCTATTATTCTAATTAATACTGTGAAAATTCGAGGCAGACTAACAATCTCAACAGATTAATAATATGTCTCGTTATTTTTTGCTAGCAAAGTATACTGTATAGAATAAAATCAATTAAAACAGCTAAAATTAACAGGCTTTCCAAAAATATAAGAAGTCTGCCATAAAATAATAAAGCAGAAATAAACAAAGAAATAGAAAAATTATCCACCCGTACAAAACAACCCAGGGCTTGTATGTTGTATTAATGATCAAAAATTCATTCTTAATTGAAAAAAGATCAATAAAATTTTAAATGCAGATACTCTAAAAGTATGAATAATTTAAAAATTAATTTTTTATTGAAAGGTTTTGTTCGATATATTTTTTTTCACAATTTCTGTGAGTTGTATACATTAACAAAAGTTTTCTATCATCTCTCGGCCAGAATTGATTTTCCGGGCCGCTTGCAAAATGTGCAAACTTTTGTACTAATTAATAGTGTCTATACGCCTGTGTGCATGGGGCAGCGACGTAGTTAAATTTATCTATAACTTGTATGAACTAAGGCTTAATCTGACCTTTGACCCCACCCCCATTGGGACAAAACAGCGGTGGTGATTAAAATTTTAAAGCGGACTTTGCCAAGTCGCCCCAAGCATTCAAGGCTATTGCAATGGGTAAAGTGCTCAATTTTAATAAAATCACTCGAGTCAAAATGTTTGTAACGAATTCCCACATTGTTTAAGAATCCCCGCCATCTTTTTAAGTATATAAACATTTTATAAGTGTAATAATTTAGTTTTAGGTTGTTCGTATAATTCTGCGTAAAGTTTTTCTCAACTAAACCATGAAAACAATTTTTTCACAACACTCCTTTTATCTGTAAGCGTAAAAGTCTAATTTCAAAAATAGACTTGGCTAGAGAATGAAGCGACAAGTAAATATAGACAGAATTATATTTGTTTATCTCATTCCCACAATGTAATTTAGCCCAATGATCAATGATTCATTTAAGACTTATATGAACTTGATTTAGATTGCTTTCAAGTCCCCTCCCCGTCTTCTTTCTTTCAGGCTCTAATGGCAAACGGAACTCTGAAATTATGAATGAAAACATCGGGTTTGTCTTAAGTTTCAATTCGCTTGGAAGAGACGAAGGAATAATCTCGGTAGATTTAATTAGCATCAATTATTATAATTGTTTGTTAATTGCTAAAATTAAATCTTTCCCTGCCGGTTATGACAAACTTTTTAATTTTTCAACCAAGGAATACAATTAAGATGAATCTACAATTTAAAACTTTGGAATATTTTAAAATCAAAATCCCTGGATTTTGTGCAAATGGTTTTACCCTCGATTCAAATATGCCGATTTAAGACTAAGAAAATGTCAAAAATCGGGAATTTACTTACACACCTCAGATACAAACGATCGACTGCCCGGGCAGTTGTCTTAAGCGTGCGACAAGGAGCCCGGGTGGGTTCAAAGCCCCAACTTTCTACTTCTGAAGATATCAAAATGTGAAATTATATAACCATTGTTTGCCCGGCTTTTGGTAGAAAAGATGCGACTTGATCCGAGTCAAGTGCCCCTCGTCCTTAGTGAGAGGGGTTTCCAAACAAGTATATAAGCCCGATACCGTTTTTGATTTTTCATTCAGTCTCATCCATCGAATCCAAAACATTGGAAAAATGAACCCACTCGTGAGTAATTTCCAAAAGTTATAAATTTACTATAACTTCGGGGTTTTTTGAACGGTATAACCAAGCTTTTTTTTCATAAGTGGATAGTAGCAAAAACCGTGACACATCGTGTCCTAAAAGTTCAAAACACATAAACTACTCAGTACACAAATTAAAATATCACGCGCACATTCTCACACGATATTCAATCAACAGGACAAGAAGTTTCATTTTAATCGTCTTACGTGTAAAAAATTTAAAATTGTTCTTTAGAAATATTTGCACTTTAAAAATAACATTTCTCTATTATTTTGCAACAACAGGAAAACAAAGAACCCCCAGGCTTACCGGTGGTTTGAATAGTTGAAAACCTCACAAATTATTTAGAAACGAAGCTGATTGTACATTTATTATGCGCGTCATTAATTCATTCTCTTCCTACCGTTTCATTGGGTCAATCCGATCTAGATTACTATTCGATTAACTGGTTGGGGATGGTTAACTACCTATTAACCCTTGAACTTTTATTATATAAAAACTTATAACAGCCGCAGTTTTCTCCGAGCAACAGGTAGCTACAGAAGCCTTACAATGAGGGTACCTATAGTAACCGTGTAGTAAGAGGTGAAATATCAACCTTGCAACAGAGCTGCAGTGGCCTTCTAGTGAGGGTAACTACAGTACCTTGTAATGAGGATAGTTACAATGGTCTTTAATGTGGGTAGCCATAGTCACCCTGCAATAGGAGGTGAAATAGCAGTCTTGTAACAGGAGGTAACTACAATAGCATTGCAATTAGGGTAACTTCAGTAGTCTTGCAACAAAGGTAGCTACAATCATTACATTCATTATCCCCCTGCCGTTTCATTGAGTCAATCCGATACCGATTATTACTGATATGTATACTATAAGATATATATAATTATATGATATAAAAAACGTATAAGAAAGACAGTTTTTATCCAGCAACAAGAAGCTGCAGTAGCCTGGTAATGAGGAAAGCTAAAATCGCCTTGCTACAGAAGATCGTTGCAGCAACGTTACAATATTAGGTATCTATAGTGGTTTTATAATATGGGTAGCTATAGTAGCCTTGTGAAAAAGGGTAGCTACAATCTCCTCGCTGTAGGAAAGTAATTCCAGTAGCCTTAGCACATTAGGATTCTATAGATGTTTTGTAATTAGGGTACCTACAGTGACTAGAGGTATACAGTACCTTGCAAGATCATCGCTTGGATTCTCAGAACTGTGCATGCCTTTTTACCTTGCCATAATTTAAAGATCACAGTTTTGACTTGTCACGTCTTTTGACTGTTGGAAACGTTTTTGTTGCTTGTCCATTCCCAGCTATAAAGAACTTGTTCGAATAGACCTTTCTTAGCTAATTTGCCATCCAGTCCACAGATCCTCTTTGTCTGTTTACTTATGCTTTGAGACATCCACACTGTCAGTTGGATGTTGTCAATGCTTCACTGGAAGGCGAAATCTATGAGTTTTCGCCTTTCTAACCGTATTTAAGTTCAATTCAGTTCAAGTTTAGTTTTGTATCACTGAGTGTTACGAAATAGTTCTGATTCTTAGGGCTATTATCATCTGAACAATACAGAATTGATTATTAATACTGAGTCTTGTTCGAGTCTTGGATTACATAGGCGCAACATATAATAGTATAGCTAAAATTGCACAAAGATAACCAACAGAAACCTACCATTTAATTACCAGCAGGGTTGGCCGAACAGGCTTTATAATTTTTTAAAACTTTGATTGAAATATTGAGTACCTCATCGACTCTCACTTCAGTTGAATAGATGGATTAAGGTGATATAGTATAATAGTATCTATATGGAAAACAATGTATTTAAGAATGAGTATAGTTTGTTTTAAGGAGCCATCAAAGCCAATAAAACGAGCCTAGGCAACTAGTAACGAAATTACTAACCACTGATGATAGCGCAATAAACCAGGATGATAGAAACAACCAAACATCGGCTATATTACATCGCAATACTCCACGAAAATTTCATATATATCTTACGTCTTCTCCTATAACAATATATACTAAAATTATTAGATATTCTCCCATCAGTAGTTGTGGTTTGCAATTTAGAAAATACAGTTTTTAAGTTAAAATACGAAGAAAATAGGAATTTTTAGATATAGTAATATACCACTGAATAGTATGTATTTGCTTTTCAGAAACTTGTTTTTGTGGTTGCGTGTGTCGCATTGGCGCATTGCGAGTCGTCTGAGAAGAAGATCGAAAAACGAGGCCTGCTATATGGACATGACGATCTCGCCAGTGTGGGCACGTACGGTTCCGGCGTCGGGTTGAGTACCGCAGTACTGGGTACAGGTGCCGGATTAGGAGGAGGACTCGTTTACGCTGACGGAGTTGGATACGGAAGTGGTGGATTGGCTGGTCTCGGTCTCGCCGCAGTTGGAGGTGTTGGAGGAGTTGGAGGTCTCGGCGTTTTGGGCTACGGAGCCGGATTTGGAGGTCTCGGCGCAGGACTCGGCTACGGAGCGGTCGCTGCACCTCTTCTCTCGAGACACTTGACCGTCACCCACAGAGTCGCCGTGCCGGTTCCTCAACCTTACCCCGTTCCAGTCGTTAGGAACGTCGCCGTACCGGTACCTCACCCTGTTAGCGTACCCGTCGAAAGGCCATTCCCAGTCCCAGTACCTCACCCCGTGCCCGTTCCAGTCGACAGGCCCTACCCCGTCAGAGTTGAACGCCCGGTTGCAGTTCCGGTCCACCATACCGTTCCCGTTCCCGTTCCTAGGCCGGTGGCCGTTCCGGTCCCCAGGCCCGTCCCGGTTCCGTTCGTGAGGACAGTCCCAGTTCCGGTGCCTCATCCCGTTGCCGTGGCCGCACCCGTAGCAGTAGCCGCACCCGTAGCAGTAGCCGCACCAGTAGCTGTAGCCGGACCCGTAGCAGTAGCAGGACCCGGAGCAGTAGCCGGACCGGTTCCCGTCAATTTCGCTGTGCCTGTCGCCTTCGGCGGTGGTTATGGTAGTGCTGTTGGTGCTTTCGGCGGATACTTTGGAGGTGGACTCGCCGGACACTCTGGCGTAGCCGTCAAGAAATTCCACCATTAAGTGGCCAGATCTCATCCATTTTTTAATCTTAAATCTCATTTGTAAATAACCATGTTTTGTACTCAATAAAAAAATAAAAATGTACTTGTGTTCAATTATAAAAAGACACATTTTTTCACACTAAAACATTGCCCGCTGCAATTGAGAGGATTGAATTCGACGATAGTAGACAAGATTTTTGTTCTATTTTTATTAAACGTTGTTATCAATCTCTCACATTTTACTCTCTCCAAAATAGATGCACAAGATGTTCGGACAGCTCTACCCGTTTATTTCTTGAGAACGAAAATTTTAAATTTTATTGTTCATTCATTATAAAAATAGGGTTGTTCAATTTTGTATAAGTGATTAGACACAACAGAATTGTCCATCCTTTATGAACTGGTAAAGCAACAAAAAATCTCTTTTTGCGCTTAAAAATGGAAAACGTTTGATAAAACTAAAAGGCTCGATTGGATTCGGGAAGTCCACCTGTTGTCTGTGGCCAGACTACAGCTGTAAAGGCATTATCTAGAGTGTGGCCCACGTGGCTCTGCAGTGTAGCTTATTGCTAGATCAAAGGAGCGTCGTTCACACGGTTCAGTGAATGCAAATTGCATCTGGTTAGGTACTGTTTAATCTGACGTATGTGAAGGTGCGAAAACAATGCTTAAAGCTATTTCCAAACACGGTTTCAACATTCACGACATCGCCGATACTTAGCATTAATGGCACTTATATTATACCCTAAATTTTTAAATTTTATTAAGGCAATGTTTAGATTTTATAATTAATTCGTTAAAATGTTTAAAATCGTGTTATTAACTTATAAGCAATAAAGCGCTACAGCTGTACTTGTATTTGTATGCAATTATCTATTTGAGATATGAGCCACTTGAATTCAATTGAGGATAAATTAATTCTTAGCGGGTTCTTGATTTTATTACCTGTTAATTGATTTTGTTAACAGACACTTCAATAATCTCAATATTTTACATTAAACCACTATACGTTGGGCTTTTTCCGAATTTTTTAAAACCAATTTTTGACACAATCATTACGATGAGACGAAAATGTCAAATTCAGGTGCTTTGCTTACTTGAACTATAACATTTTTAGTCCAATTTACTCATTCGTACGTAGTAACACACAGACTACCTTTCACCAGTACTAAGTGCCAAGTGCTCACATTCTTACTGAGTTCCAAAGCTATTTTCAACCATCCTACCTCCCCACTTTGGTCTCATGGCCAATCAGGTCGTGGCAATCTTCACTGATAGTCAATCTGTACAATTTGCCATTGAGTCTATGTTGTCTTATCTATGCCAAGAAGCATTAACCATTCTGTACAGCTTGTTTTGGTATGATTGGACAATTCTTCCATTTGTTTTCTTCGTGCACCCCCATCTGAGCATCCTAACAACCATACCGATCTCAAAATCCCCTTGTATAATAGCATTGTGCATATCAAGCTCGAAATACCCGGCCAATATACAATCTTACTGAACTTGATGTTAAAGACTTCGAACATTTTTTCGCGTTTTAACCTTGTTGCGCTTTCCTAGAACCATTGGCCATTTCTAGGTTAACTCGGAACTGAAAGCGTACGCATTTACTGCCTTTATCCGCCTTTTTATGCTTGTTTATCCGCAAGTATGTAAATCTGTGCCCCTTTCATATTTTTCTTTATCAGCCAAATACTTCTGTTATATTTGACCATTTGGAAAGGCCTGGAAAAATTGAGTTTTACTCTCATTTGATTAGAAATCTCATTTAATTTAATTCAATCTAGAATTTTGTGTTTGCTTCTCCTTAGATCAGTCTTTATTTTCTTGTATCTCAGGAGTATTTTGGCACTCAAAAAAGCCACCTTCTGTACATAAATATATAAGGGTGAGAGATCGAGTGCGGTTTCCATCGCTCTTGTGGGGCAAGTATGCATTGCCCATACACAGACTTGGTAGACATTGCAGTTTGTTATGTTTCTATGTTTCTCATTGTTCAGTGATTTTGACCACCATACTAGAGGTCTATAAGTGACCATGGACTGACCGTTGTGGTGTATAACCATACGCCATACTTTGGCTTATTCCCCAATTTTGGCTGCATAGTCTCCGGACAATGCTTAATAATGTATACTTGCGTTTCTTTCTATCACCTTTTTGCATCACAACAGTTTTCTTCGTTTTCTTTCGAAATCTTCTCCTCGGCGTTTTTCAAATGAATAAAGTAACAATTGTAAAGTCCCTTTTTATTTAGGATCGAAAAATGATTCAATATAGATTTAATTCTGTCCGTTTTTTAACCTTAGGAATATTTTATCATTATATTTATTACATGGGTTCTTAAATAAGTAATAATTGAATGTAAATGGATTTTTACTTAAAGTATTAAATCCATTATTCTATTCAACGAGTGCTTTGCGCAGATTCGAGTTCAATTTGCATAAATAATTTAAGGGTAAATACATAAAAGTCGATCAATCCGAGTCAGACGTTAAAATTTCAGATTTATTTATTCAAAACAGCATGTGTATCATAAATTAATCAGAAGTTAGATTTTGAAAATACTTTTCCTCTTCATCCGAGTTATAATTAGACGTATCAATTCGTTTTAGTTGAAAGCAAACGAGACGTTTAGACCATTCTAGCCTATTGCATCATTCGATTGTTGGCCTGTACGTTTTGTCGTGTCTATGTCCTTCTGATAGGTGCTAATGCCAAAGTATACCAACCTGTATACTTTACAGTATACTTTTATGACAATATAATATATAACGTGGATAAGTTATGAAACCCCTCTGACATTCCAACACAGCGAAGCAGACCAGGTTGATCTAAAACGGCCAAATTTTATAACAAGGTGTATGGGGTAAAATCTGTCTTAATGAAAAAGCGGAATAAATAAGATTTTTAACAACGAATGAGTTCATCGTCGTCAGTACATTGTGAACTTTCTTGGAATAAGAATTATTTTATTTATTGCATCCCGAAGTAGAAAATCCCCTGAGAATGATGCACCTCCTCCATACTCCGAACTTCTTACTAAAGGCTATAATTTTCTTAACCACAATATCTAATGCCATCCTATGAACCACTCACTTTCCTCGCTTATGGAAATATTACATCGTTACTCTCATTCCAAAAACTCACAAATCTCCCAACCACATATCCTCGTACTGGACCTATTACCCTTATTCTTTCAACGACATAAATCTTTTCTTTTTTTTAACGAGGGTTTGCAACAGCAGAGGTCATATAAACCCTCAGAGCGCCGGTGTTTTTGAAAAAACAAACAAACAAACCATTTGTAAGTATGTCGGGTTCGAATGCAGGGCCGCTGGATTCGAACCCGGGACCTTTACCTTACAGTGATGAGCGCCGTGTCAACGTCTAAACCGTTGCGGCCACCGACGCACCATAAACAAAAATCCTTGAAAGACTCCTTTTAAAGCGCTTTATACCAATCCTAGATACTCTGAAACTATTCCAACGAGGTTTCATTGTTGTCTATAGCCACTCCTTATTAACTATCTTGAAATCCTATCTAACCGACTGCTATTTCAGTGTGAGGTGTGACAACGAGTTCTCAGATACAAGCCGGCGTCCCACAAGGGAACATTCTTGGTCCCATACTTTACATCATTTATAAGGCGTATAATTTATCTACCCTAATACCATCTTCACCACCTAACTGACGATAGTGCAAATTTGTCATCTAACTCGAATCATATCCACGCTACCTACCACAATTCATATTGAAAAAACAGTCTTGCCCTTAGCTATACATCCATATCAAAGTGATACCGATTTCCGTGCAAGTCAAATACTGAGATACCTAGACAGCAGAGCGATGTGGAATCCTCATACAAGAGTTAAGAAACAACAACTTAACTGACTTGGATAACTACGAAGGTTCGAATTTATTTTGACTATCGAAACTAAACTAATCTTGTACAAGTTTTTACTGCGACCAGTGGGGTTGAGCCAAGCCATTCAACATCCGGCTAATCCAATCTTTCTAATCAAAAGTCCCACAACGCCCTCAACGTTCTTTTTGTCTACCTCTTGATACATCCTAACCCTACTGCTCAAACCCTCTACATATTCCCATTCAGAGAACCCGACACATCGCTTTAATGGACAATGGCCTCGAGACCTCCTTGCCCATTAATCCCACTCACTGTGCCAACATTGGCTGGTTTCTTACTGCCCTCCTGGTGAAACGCTGACTCTTAGTACTGTGATCGTGCGAAAAGCCTTTTGTGGTCAAATTTGTAATAATTACTAATATACATAGGGTACAAATAAAAACTTTAAAAAAAAATATTGAAACATACATTTACTTCACAGACTTAGGGCAGAAAAGTCTTGTAGTCCTTTTCTTCATGGGATGCTAAATTGATTCTTTAGACGATTCATTCGTAGCTGGATGCCAAAATAAAAATTATCAGGATTGAACCAATGAAAAAATTGTTTTCACACTTTTTATTTCCAAATTTAAACTGTCCATTAATCATGTTTTAGCAACAGCATTTTATAAGCTGGGTCTAAATTATTTTAGATTTTAATCAGATCAGTATCGCTTTCTCTTTTTTTTTATAATTTGACCATATTTTAACGCGTTCTAGCGTTTTCTAAAAATTTGTCATAATTATAAAATAAAAGTTAAAAGGAGACAAATTATTCGTGTTATATTTCTTTATTTTTTACATAATTACTTTAACAAAATTATATTTCACTACTCATTAAACTAATTCTAAAATTTTAAAATGAAAAAAGATAAAAGAGGAAGTTTTCGCGATCGTTTTAAAAATACAAGTCAATTTTATTTATAGGAATGAAAGAAATATCGCATGTGATTAGGATTTATTACATTCTGAAAAAATTTACAAAAGAACGAAAAACCAAGTAAATAAGAAAGAAAAAATGCAATATCCAAGGGCATATATATTACCTACAATAACAAAAATAAAAACATGAGTTGCCTGAAATAAACAATAATAAGCTATCAATCACCTAATAGGAGATACTTTACACATTGAAATGTAATTATAAGTAACACATATACAATTCAAACTAGTGAGCTTCAACTATTGGGATTTTTTGAGACTACGAAGGAAATGATTGTTGTCTGTGGTTTAATTAATAATTCTTTTTATTTAAACTTCGGATAATACTTTTTTGAAAGGACCGGGGAGTTAGGATGTCGTGTCGGATCTCGTGATGCTTTAGGCGTGTCTCCTCCTGCGGCCAGGGCCACCGGCGAAGTTCGCGGCCGCCAAGCCCATCAAATGCTTGGCCGCCTGCGATCCTGAGAAGCCACGGCTTAATCCCAAGTCCAGGCCCCTTTTTGAACTGAAAACAAACATAGAAACATTAGATTTGAATTAATTTAGCCAAAGTGAAAAAGAAAACGAAACAAAACGAACACAATCCAAGCGACCATTTCACAGCATAGCGGTAAAACCGTTCATCGTATTTTCCTGTCGAGACAGAATTTAAAGAATAAAATAAGTGTATTATTTAAATAATTAGCAATAGTTTAACAATTTAAAGGAAAAAAATACAAGTTCAAGTTCGCTATGATTTTATATCGTGAGGTTTCTTATTGAAGTAATTGTCATTCGTACATTTGAATATTTTTTGAAAATTTTTATGTTGGTCTATTTTGTACCTATTGTATATTTGTTGTATTATACAAGTATTGATGTCCTTATTTGGAATTCTTAACAATATTGCCCAAAAGCTTAAACGAAATCTAAAAAAACTACATGACGACTCAGAAATTATCTAGAAATTTTAACACCAGGCGAAGCCACTAACTACTGGCTCTGGAAGGCAATAAAAAAATTAAAATACCAAGCGCCCAAATTCCTCCATTAAAAAAGATGGTACATGGGCGAGCGACAGCAGAGAAAAAGCCGAATTTTTTGCCAGTAACCGTGCTGAAATTTTCGAACGAAATGTCATCAATGGCAGCTTACTTGAAGTAACAACCACTCCACAAGTAGAAAATATAAAGCTACTTACAACCTAAAGAAGTAGCACAAGATATTAAAAATCTACCTGCTAAAAAGACTCTAGGATATGACCTTATCACTGCAGAGATACTAAAACAATTTACCAAGTTAAACTGACATACCTATTTAAACCTGTAATCAGGCTGAATATGTTCCCAGCATCTGGAAAAACTGGCGAACGAGGCCAAATCATATAGATCAATTGGTTTCCGAACAAAACGTTTCCGAAAAATGTCATGAAGAAAAACAAATCCTTGATGCCTCACAAGCTTTTGATAAGGTTCGGCATGAAGGACTCATCAATCAACCAAAACAGATGCTACCAAAGGAGTATTGAGATATTATCATTTCCTACCTATCAGACAAACTCTTTAGAGCAAACAAGAAGATCAATATTCAAAATTAAAAACAATAAATGCAGGTTTGCCACAAGGTAGCATATTATGTTCACTTTTTTACTTGTTATATACCAGTGATTTTCTGAAAATAGATGGAGTAAAAAATTGCAACGTTTACATATGACACAGCGGTGATAGCAGTAGGACCGACTCTTAACCATTCAACCAAAATCCTTCAAAATGCTTGTAATAAGATAAACGAATGGACAAAAATGGAAAATCAAGCTCAATCACCTTAGATATAAAATAAATACATGAAAAGTATATCTAAACTTTAAAACCAAAACGTATACCATACAATTAGCGATACGCCTTTATGTCTACCTTAGATGCCAAGCTGAGATGGAAACTATACGTAAAGAAAAAAAGGTCAAAAATAGGTTTGAGGTATAGACAACTATACTGGCTGATAAGACGTGGCTCCAACCTTACTATACAAAATAAAATATCGTTTATTATACGAACAAGTCCTAAAGACTATGTGGACATATGGTATTCAATGGGTTGTACCAAATACAGCAATATCAAAATCATACAAACACTCCAAAATAAAATCTTACGTTAGGAATAACGACTTACTAGGGATCTTAAGATCCCAGAGGTCACCACACCAGTCTCGCTTCAGCCAGCACGAGAATGTGGAAGCGACCAAACTCCTACATAATCGAAACGCCGTCAGAAGGTTAAAAAGAACAAAACCATATGAATAAGGTTAAATAATAAGGAATACATAAATAACCATATAATAAGGAATTTAAAAATTAGTGAATAATGAAATGTAAATCTTATTGTACCAATGGGTTTATAAGAATGTAAACATTTATTTATAGCATATATATTATTGTAAAATTAATGGTCTAATACCAGTCTATAAAATAGAAAATAGACCAGTTAGAATCCTTACTAGACATTTAAGTTGGCCGAATATCCAAGATTAGGCAAAAATAAAAGCGGCAGTTTGGTCAATTCTGATTGTCCTGGCCCGCCTAGTTTCGACGTTTTGGCCTGTAAAACGCGTTTTATGTTTGCGTGCTGATGAACCTGCAGTTTATTCGCCCTGGTCCGCGCAGTCTCGCTTGTTTAGTATGTCAAACGAAATTGGGAAGTAATTATAAAGCACGTCAAGTAATAGAATATTTTGTGAAATTTCATTTTGTTGTCTGTGGGTTAAAAAACCTATACTTATGTGTGCGTTTGTGTGTATGTATATGTGTATCTCGTTTCCATCGAACTAACTTTTTTAAATTTTTATTTCAAATTAACCTTTTCTAATTTAAAATTAATCCATTTTAACTTCAAATTAACCTTTTCTTTAAAGCATTCAACAAAATTATAAGATGGTGTAAAATACAAGCACGTAAGGTAAAATTCTTGCATATTTAAGAATTTTTTATTAATATAAAATAATTGGGTTCTTAGAAGTCTGAATGAAACTTAATTACAAATTAACAATAAAAATTACATAAGATTAATTGTAAAAACAAATGATGATTATTTTATTTTGAGATTCTTTGGAAATATACAATAATTGGGTTCTTTTATAAAAGAGCATAAGAAAATTAATTGCAATTAACATTAAAAATTATGTAACATTCAATGTTAAAATACCTAAGGGATTTTTTTTAATATACTAATAATAGTTTAATAGGGAACTAAAATATATCTCAAATAACAAAAGATTTCTTTATTTGAATACTTTTTCTATATAATTCTTAATTTTATTTTACTTGTAATTAATTTTCGTGTGGTCTTCTAAGATCTCAATTAGTTTATATTTAATTTTGTTTTTAATTTATGTGCTAAAATTTCATACCACCTCCTTCGTTTTCTGTTGTTTAAAAGAAAGGGATAGTTAGAACATAAAAAAAGGTTAATTCGAAGTTAAAAATCATCTAAAAGGAAATTAAAAACGTTTTAATTTGATATTAAAAAGGGTTAATTTGGTGCGAAAAAGAGTTAATGACAGAAAAAAAGGCTACATGCACGTTTTCTTGTAATAAAAACACCTCATAAAAAATTTCTTCACAATTTATTCCGAGTTTGTGTCAAGAATATGGTTTACGAAACGGAAAACTTGGAATAAATGACACCGCTGGGTGAACCGTACACTTGAAAAATCAAAGTATCCTCCGCCAAAGCAGAAACAACCAAGTTAACAGGATGCACAAGGAGGGAGGGAAACAATTTAAAATTTGCCAAAAATGGATAACAGGTTGTTTTAAATTATTAATATATGAAAGATGGCACATTTATTATTTTTATTTATTGTTTTGCCGGCTAACTATTATGGTCATTGCCGGCTCCTCGCATATTTGTCCTCACGTTATTATATAGTCGCAGAAAAAATTCTTTTCTGCGTTTTCATCTATTTTTCTTTTCATATACCTTTGGTTGCTAGACGATCCACGTGTTTCTTAGTATTTTGTTACTATTATGTTTATTTACTTTTATCTTCCAGAGCAATAATCCTAAAACACATATTACATACATGCACATCATGCTACTATAAGATTTTAATCTAATCTATATTTGGCAGGTCTAAGCGTACAAATGACCTAGAGTTCCCACTGCTATAACTAACTGGTCAGGTAGGTGGGAGTCACCTCGCCAACCACTCGTCATTCACGCCTATAAATACATTCATTCGGAGTAACCTTTCTTCATGCCGTATATACAATTAAATTTGGCAAGATAACATTTTTATTGCCCAGCGTTTCGCCACCCTGCCACACTCCACTTATTCCTTAACGTAACTAACCTAAGTTTTTGACAAGTCTTCAAGATTCAATATTCCTCGGTAGACCCGTCCACTCGTACTTAACTACTCTCGCTAATAAATACAGCCACTAGAAAGCTTATTAAACGAAGACGTTTTTACGAAATTTGCCAAGCTCTGCCGTGAATTTTTGCAATGAGGTTGCAAATTTTTTTACAAATTTTAAATTTATCAATTTTTGAAATATTTAGTGTTTTTTTAACCATATATACCCTTTTCTTTAATTATATCGATCCCAAATGCAAAAATTTTATGCTAATTTGGAAAAAAGTGGTGACGGTGAAAAAAAATTGGGATAAGTAATTCAATATTTTGACCTGGGCAAAATTTATTTCCCAAGTTTGACTTAATAAAAACGCCCCAAAAAGGAAGAAAATCGAAAAAGCATAAAAAAGGGAAAATAAAGAATAAAAAGTAAAAAAGAACAACAATGTAAAAGTTGTAAATTCCAAATTTAAACTAATAAAAGTGCACAAAAAGAAAGAAAAAATCAACGTAAAAAAACATAAAAAGAAACAATAAACATAGTTTTCATCTCAACTAAAACCTTAATTAATTGTAATAAACATAGTGCTTTTTTTTTGCCAAACATTAAATTGAAATCCTATAAAAGTGCCTTTTTAAAGAAAATTTAACTCTTTTTCTTTGATGTCGACAAAAATGAATAGTTCAAGTGCTACGAGTAGATTTATGACGAAAACTAGAAAGTTGAAGAAACATAAAATGATGAATATCTGAGAAAGGGTTGATAATCGTTTGTACGAACTTGCATATGAGGTTTATAAAAAAAGCACCTGACGAACTTTGTCGAACGAATAAGTGAATCACCCTGTATATTACAAATAGACAGTGAATGATCTAATATTTACAGATTGTAAGCGTGATAAACTCTCGGATGTTGACCCCTCGGTCGTGGGTTCGATTCCACCCATGGCCCTTTTTTGCACGTTACATTCCCCGCTCCAGAAAAACGTATACACATCGCATATGAGATAATAATGTTCCTTAGCTCATATGAAAAGTTCATAAAGCCGTTAAAAAAGAAAAAAGAGAGAAAAAAGACAATATTTCCATGCAAAAAAATCAAGGTGGAATGCATGTCCTGCGAGGCGAATTTTTATTGATGCCACCCGCCATTAATAATAAAACAATAATTATTAT